TAATCATCTGAGAGATACAAATCAAAATGACAATGAGGTACCATTTTACACCTGTCAGAATGGCTATCATCAACAAATCAACAAATGACAAGTGCTGGTGAGGATGTGGAGAAAAAGAAACCCTTGTGCACTGCTGTTGGGAATGCAGACTGGTGCAGCCACTGTGGAGAACAGTATGGAGTTACCTCAAAAAATTAAAAATGGAACTCCCATTTGACCTAGTAATCCTACTTCATGAATATATCCCAAGAAATCAGAAACACCAATTAGAGAGGCTATGTGTACACCTATGTTCATAGCAGCACAATTTATAATAGCTAGGATTTGGAAACAGCCTAAGTGCCCATCAGCAGATGAGTGTATTAAAAAATAGTGATACATCTACACAGTGGAATACTACACTGCTGTAAAAAAGAAAGAACTCTTACCATTTGCAACAGCATGGATGGAACTGGAGAGCATTATGCTAAGCGAAATAAGCCAGTTGAAGAAAGATAAATATCACATGATCTTGCTCATTTGTGGAATATAATAAACAAAAATAGATCCAGAGACATAGAAGCATCAAACAGACTGTTGAACTTCAGAAGGAAGACAGGGTAGGGTGGGGGGTGGTAAGAGATCAACCAAAGGACTTATATGCATGCATATAAGCAAAACCAATGAACAAAGACAGTAGGGGGATGAAGGCATGTGCTGGGGGGTGGGAGCAGCCAGGCAGAGGTCAATAGAGGGAAAAGGAGACATATGTAATACTTTAAACAAAAAAACATTTATATTAAAAAAGAACACCTAACAACAATGAGACTTCATTACAATATAGATGTGACAGTACAGGTACAAATGTTAAATTTGTTATTTTAAGAATATTTCTTCATTATAGTATAAACAGATCTTCTTTTCTCCCCATTGTTTATAACAGATGAAGTAAAATAAAGTAAAAATAATATAAGAAAACACTTATTAACAGTGCAGTTTTCTTGGTTCTCCAATCTCTACTGACAACTTCTCAACCTACCGCCTCCTCGCCTCCTGTAATACACACACACACACACACACACACACACACACACACACACACACACCCTCCCTTCTTGCCTCCAAATTTACAAAGAAAAGAGAGACTATCAAGTGAGTTTCCCATTTAAAAACTTTTAAACATATCCACCTTCACCCCTGGTATAATTTTTTATTTTGTTCCAATTCTGGAGTTGACTTCCTCAGCTTGTTCCCTCCACATATGCTTTGCCACCCATTCCCCACATTTGGGGAGAGGGATTATACTGTTATTTGTACCCCCTCATTTATTAATTTTTTCTATCCTACTTGGATCCTAAAATTAAACAACCAATTAATAAACCTCTGTGGCTGGCCTCTACTTGCAATATACAAATCCTATGAGTCGTTAAAGAAAAATGTGAAGAAAATAACTAAAAGATAAAGTTTGGCATTGTTCAAAATGCCATAAATAAAATTAAAATTAAATGACAAGAGGAAAAATATTTGTTACACATGTCAATGAACTACTTTTCTTAAGTTATAAAGTGCTTTTATGAAAATCAGCAATTTTCACCTGGTGTGCAACAAGAATTTTTGTTAATATATATTTTTATTGATTTCAGAGAGGAAGGGAGACAGAGAGAGATAAAGATAGAAACATCAATGATGAGAGAGAATCATCAGCTGCCTCCTGCACACCCCCTACTGGGGATTGAGCCCACAACCCAGGCATGTGCCTTGACTGGGAATCGAACTGTGACCTCCTGGCTCCTAGATCACTGCTCAACTGCTGAGCCACACCAGCCAGGCTGCCACAAGAATTTTTAAAATATGCAATACCTGACTGTTTAGTCAGGGGCACTGACCTCTTTTCCCTTAGGTTGTCAAATAAAAAAAAATGACAACAGCCAACACAACAATAACCATCCAGTGTGAATGAATCAAAATTATACCTATTTTTGTCAGATGGGCAAAATATATATTTTTTGGTGTGCCGCAGAATTTTAGTAATTAATTTATGTATGTCATGAGATGAAAAAGGTTGAGAATCACTGAGGGAAATCACTAAGAAAAATAACCAGAAAAAAATAGACTAAATGCATGATTTGGTGGCTTGTAAAAAATATAAATATATATCACTTATTGACATATGAAAGACATACAATTTCAATCATGAATGAAGAACTACAAATTTCAAAATGATGCCAATTTCACCTGTAAGATTAGCAAATGCCAAATAATCTAATAATACTCTGTGTTAATACAGATGTGGAAGTATAGATGCTTTTCATTTTATAACTTTGTTCCCCATTTAAATTATTTCCTTATTATCATAAATTACATTTTTGAAAAAAAATAAAATATTATGTTAAGAAATCTTTCTCTTGACCTGATTTTAACTCAAGATAAAGTTTTATCATTCTCTATCCCTTATTAGATTGATGTCACAAAACAGTGGCTTTAATGCCACGAGTTCATTTCTACCTGTACTCACCTATTAGCTACTTTATCCTGAATCTGCTTTTATTTCTCCATGAAGCCATCTCTTGCTAAATCATTAATTACTTCCAGTTCAACAAATGCAAAGACCTGTTCAGTATTATTTCCACTTACTCGCCTAGAATCATTTGACAGTGGTGGTCTCATCTTTAATCACTCTCTCCCATTGGCTGGATGACAGGGCACTCTCTGAGTTTTCCTTCTATATCTCCAGATTTGCCTCTCCCTCTCTTCTTTTCATAGTTAATCTTTTCTCCAACCATTAAGTATTGAGGTTCCTCAAAGCTAAGTTCTTCAACTTTCTCTTTTAATTCTACACACCTATGTCTTCCCTTAGTACATCTGAAATACCAAGATAACTCATTAATTTTTATTTACAGCCTATATATCTCTTTTGAGCTCCAGATTCAGATATTCTCCTACTTTATTTTTATATTTAAAGTGCACATTAGGTCAACTTATCCAAAACTGATCTTATATCTCCTGTCTACCTCATACATTATTTCCCCCCAATTGTCTTCATTTCACTAAAGGTACCATCATTCATGCTGTTATACAGCATAAGAAACTAGGAGTCATCCTTGATTTTTCCCCTCCTCCTCCACAGTATCCAACATATCAGCAGCTCCTACATTTATTTTTTCAACTTAAGTTATACATAATATACAATAAGTTGAACATATTTAATGTATACATTTTGATGAGTTTGAATAAACCCCTAATACATCTCCACAAACAAGGTAATAAGCATATTTTCATTAATAAGTAGTTCTTGATCTGCCACCTTTTCATCACCCACCATGTCTTCATCACTAGCATAATTTTTGTTAGGGACACCGATACCCTGTATCTGCCTTAACTCTTCTATCCATAATCCACATCCCAGAATTATCTTTTGGAAATTCACAGCTATCATATTTTAGCCCCCCAAAATAAATTCGTACTCAATAATGGAATAAGTACCAAAATACTGCAAGGCTGAAATATTGTCTCCTAGGCCCCTCTCCAAATTTTTCACCCATGCCCTCCTTACTCTGTGCTCAACCCATATGGTTCAGAAAATTTTGCATATCATTCTAGGCATATATATCTAAACAGCTGCCATTTTATAGAATGAACATTATGCAAGTAGTCTGTTCTTCCCAACTCACTGTAGACAAGCAATAAGACAATTCCAGGCAAAATGGGCATGGTTTGGCTGACTTATTTGCATTATGAATTCATTACAAAAATCTCAACAATTTTCAAGGCATTGACTAAGCTCATTTAATTTTCAAAATATAACCTAACACAGAAAGAACAAACAAAAATAAAAGTAAACTGAGCTTATCCTAAGTGTGAAAACATTTATGTTGCTAAAAATCATCTCATTTATGAATATATATTCTTTTCTCATAGCTTGACTTCTAGATTCTAAGAAACATCCATCCAAGTGAAATTGGGGGTGGGGATAAGAAACTGGCATGGTCTTGCCCAGTCAGTCATTCACCCTCTTTGAGTCTCAATTTTTTCCCCTATAAAATGGGGATATTAATATCAAGCTCAAAGTCATCTAAAACTTGATATACCAAGTATTCTCAGAGCATTTCATTATTGTTTTTCTGTCTCTGTCTCTCCTCACTTTCTCTCCTTTCATTTCCTCTCATCTCCTCTCATCATCACCTATTCTTACTTCCTCCCTTAGTCTCATTCCCTCCCTCCTTGTCTCGCCACATATATAAGAATTCAAGAAAATAACTTTGTTTTACATAACAATTAAATGAGACTGAGTGGCCCCATGGAACACAAGTATACTTGTTTTCAAATTGCTTTCATTTGAAATAAATACTCGGGCACTATACAACAATAAAGACTAATGTCTACTTCTGGTTAATAGCTACTATCATTGTTTTTACTAGAACAATTATTTGTAATTCTACCCACAAATATATTCATTACAGTAAGCTCTTGTCCTTTCCATTTTGAGAAATATTGATGTAGCGTGACCCCCTACTAAGAAATACCAGGTATAAGTCCCAAGTATATTTGAATTTAAGGATATTTTCTCTTATGGCTTGGTAACAATCATCAAATTAAAGAACAGAGAATCTTCATTCAAATAGATAAACAGTTTCAGTTCATCTTAGACAAGAAAAAGTGATCTTTACCTAGTTAATTTGCTAAAAATTGGTCCTTGTTTCCAAGTTCATATTTAAGTCTACAGTCCATAAATAATATATCTCAAATAACATTTTCTGAGGTCAATAACTAAAACACTGTATTCATTCTAAAAAAACATAAGTCCCTTTAGAAATGTCATTTTTGTTTAGATTATTGATCCCATCCTCTTGGCAGAGCCAAAGTGTTTAGCAAGACTATTTCAGGGACCTGGAACCGACACTTCTATTGGCAGTGAGACAGCAGATTACCCAGATCTCAAATGAGAAGACACAGTGGCCAGGTCTACATCACTCTAACATTCTACTGACGTGCAGCACAGATGGTGAGATATGTTGATGGATGAGGTTGTCTTAAGCAGTAGAGTTATCTTAGTCCGGCCAAACATTTTAGTTGAATGACCTATTAAAATTGGCTGTGCCAAGGCCACTGGAGAGATTTATAAGTAACTAAATTTGTTAAATGTCAGATTCTCTAAACATTTATGAATATATATTCTTTTCTCATAGCTTGACTTCTAGTTTCTAAGAAAGATCCATCCAAGTGAAATTGAGGGTGGGGAAAGGAACACAAGTATAGAGTGGGAAAGGAGGAAGTATAGGGATTGGGAGAATATATGCAAACAAAATGATCTCAAAATACTAAGAGGAATTTTTTAGGGGGGAACATTAGTTTAAAAGGGCTAACTTAAATTTGAATTATGTAGGATAGTTTCCTTATACATCAGGATCTATAAAGAACTGAAAATTTGCTAACAGTTTATAACTTCTCCCCTATATTTATTCTATAGGAGACAAGCTAATAGAAAAAAGCATTGGATTAAGGGTCATGGTAATTGGGTTCTTGTATAACCTTCACCATGGCATCCAAACTTTTGGAGTACCAGTTTTCTCGACTTATAAAATGAGAGTGAGTAGATGGTCTAAATTCTCTCTTACAACTACTAAATTTTGCTTTTCAGCTCACTACCCCAGACCTCCAATTTTATGATTAGGGATACTTTAAACTTACTGAGAAGCAGTAAAACACAATGCTAAGTACTCAGTCTCTAGAGTTACACAGACTTATTTTAATTTTATCTTTATCACATACATGTATATGGCCTTCATATCATTATTACTCAGTATTTATTGAGTTTTGAGGTCGTCTATAAAATGGAGATAATAGTACTCAACATGCAAGCTGTTCTTAGATTTATTTTGTTTTAATTGCACTTATTACCTTTTATTTAACTTGTTGTCTGTAATGTCCATAAGAGTAGTGATTGTTGTCTGTTTTAGTCACTGTTGTATCCCAGTATCTTAACACAGAGTAAAGGCACTCAATATTTGTCAAATGAATAATTAAACAAAACAATGCATATAAAGTTCTGAGCATAATACTGGGCATATAGAATTTGATAAATGATCCTATAAATGGTTTTATTAATACCCAGAGTGTCACTATGGGTATGAAGAAGCGGGAATGAAAGAAGTAAAAATGCTTCAAAGAGAAGATGAAGGGGACTGAAGACCATACTGTTGTTTCCAATTATTTGAAAGAGTATCATATGTTACTTTCCAAAAAAATAATATGATTCAATGGGTGGAGACTTCAGGGAGTTATTTATTAATTCAGAGTAAGGAAGACTTTTCTAAAAAATTGCTCAAAGATGAAATGAACTGGTGCTCAAGTCAATGTTCAATTCTTATCAGTCAATCAATGACTGTATTAAGAAATCTAATTAAAGATTATCAAACTATCACCTTATGCATTAAATAATTTGAAGAAAAGTTGTTATAAATAGCATATACAAAATAAATTTTAAAAACATAGGAAATACTGAATTATTTCCTTATGATGCTATTGACAAAAATACAGATGGAAAATAACAAATAAAGTATCAATCAATTTTCTTTGTGTACATGCAATCAAAAAACATTTAGTCATTGACAAATTAGGGCTAAAAACAAATGCTGTTGATTTGTCTTATTGATGTTGGCCAAAAAGCAGATAGGGGGCACAAAATCCCTTATTCCCTATCAGAAAGGCAGGATTGTTTAAGGCCAGCTTTTTCTTTCCTGTTCTTTTACCCCAGTTGCAACACTGCAATTTGGAATTTAAAAATATTGGCAGTGGAAATGTCCTGGGTTGTATGGAACTAACTGGTGCATCACTCTTGCCAACTGGGAATGATTTTAGATAAAAATGCATGACACTGATGAAAAAGGAATCTCACTCAATATCACTTTTATGAAGGATAGTAGCCTCACATTAAAATAGTGCCATCAATCTACTGCCATCAGGTCAGACAGAAAAGAATTAGGTACATAAAGTGGCAATCATAAAATATAGCCAAGCAGGAGCTATGTCTGATCACAGAAGGTCATTTAAGCATCTGGAAAAACAAAGGAACCATGTTGTTTTTTTATTGATTTGTTTTGGGGAGAGAGAGAGAGAGAGAGGAGAGAGAAGAGAGAGAGGAGAGAGAGAAGAGAGAAGAGAGAAGAGAGAAGAGCGAACAACGTCAATTGGCTGCCTCCTCCAAGCCTCCTACTGAGGATCAAGCCCAATACTGCAAAGTTGAGCTTGTGCCCTGACTAGTAACCGAACCAGCAACCTTCCTTTCAGTGCACAGGATGACACCCAACCAACTAAGCCACACCAGCCAGGCCATGTTTTTTGTTTTATTATTTTTAAATGAGCTATCAAAAATTAATCACAATTGAGTTGGGTTTCTATTTTGGACAATCATATTGAGGAAGATGCAGTGGTTCTGACGGTTTTCAATAATCTTTAAATTGGTCACCTGCTGAGAAAAGATATGTGATCACATGATAACTTTTCCAAGGTACAGTGGGGCCTTGACTTACGAGTGTCCCGACTAACGAGTTTTTTGAGATACCAGCTGTCTCTTGGCCGATTTTTTGCATTGAGTTGATAGAGTAATTTGAGTTAACAAGCTCCTTAACGAGCTCGGTCTCGGAATGAATTAAACTCGTAAGTCAAGGCCCCACTGTATAGAACGGTGAACTGCACTCACACATTCAAGCTATGGTGTCATCTGACTGATGGGAATAGTTAATTTTATGTGAAAACTTGCCTGGGCCATGAGGTGTCCAGACATTTATTTGGCCAAACATTATTCTGGGTGTGTCTATGAGGGTGTTTCTAGATGATATTAACATTTGTATTCATACACTGAATGATGCAGATTTTTCTCCCTAATGTGAGTGGGCCTCATCCAACCAACAGAAGATCTGAATGAAACAAAAAAGCTAAGTCAGAGGGAACTCTGCCCGTGTGCCCACATGAATTAGGACATTGGTCTTTTCTGTTCTTCACACTTGAACTGAAACATTGTCTCTGCTGGTCTCAGGGCTGCCAGCTTTTGGACCAGAACTACAATATTGGCTCACTTGGGTCTTTTGATATATATATACGAGCACTCACACTATCATTTCTGTTTCTCTGAAGAACCCTAATACACTGGTTCAGCATCAGCAGGGAATGAACTGAGTTGTGCCAATCAAGTGGATTATCCAAACAATTGAAGTCAATCCTATAGAAGTTAATCTTTTAGAAACTTGTCTGGTAGCAATGTGGGTAACCAGGCAATGTAATAACACTTTTTTTATATAAAATAATGAGCCAATTTTCCAATGCTTCTAAATATTAGTTTTGTAAGCAATTCCTTGCTTTCAAACCCCAAATTCTATGATTCTATTATTATAAAACAAGCTTATGTAGCCATTCTCAAAATCAATTTCAAAAGCAACAGCAAAAAGTTTCAAATGTGTTTACTTCCCAAGGGAACTATGCAAGCATTTAGGAATCCATCTCGTTTCCTTACAGTCACTTTTTGGAGGACTTACGTACCCATCATCTTTATGCGTTTATTCCTATTATCCTCATTCATCAGCACATGGCCTATCTACTTATTTTCCATGATTATTTCCAGGCTCTGGTGTTTTATATTTAAACTCTATTTCTACTACACAGATTAAGCTTCCAAAGCAACTATCCTTGTGGACCTGAAGATAAACGTTGATGCTGCCAAATTCCTGGGATTACCTCCGTGTGAATTTTCTTATTGTCACTCACCTTCCCAGAAGCAGAAATTCTCCAGCTAGACCCAGGCGCCTCATGGCCATCAACAGTCCTCGCACGGTCATGCCCTCACAGAAGCAGGCTACAACCCGGGCCTTGGGCAAGTGACTCCTGAGCTTCTTCAGCAGCTTATCGAAGCTCTGCTCCCCCGCGTTGCTGTAGATTTTGTAAGAGTGAGCAATGCAAATCCCTTCCTTGGCTGACATATCTTTGAAAGCTTCCATTCCACTTTCTCCGTAGTTGCCTGTGTGAAGACAGATAAGCAGAGGGGTAGTGAAATGGGAGTGTTGGGTTCATTGGTACAATGAGAAGGCAGACGTGCTGGGAGGTTGAAGGTTACTTGGTAGTCTTGGATTTGTAACCTGAAGACCTGAATGAGTTTTTGCTCTTTTACTGACTTGCTCATTTGGAGCAATTTACAATAAAACTACATTATATATATATTCATTGAACTTTTTCTAAATCCTCACTCAAGGATATGCTTTTATTGATTTAAGAGATAGAGAGAGATATGTGTGTGTGAGACACACACACACACTGAGAAAGAGAGAGAGAGAGAGAGAAAGAGAGAGAGAGAGAGAGAGAGAGAGAGATATGAGAGAAACATCAATTAGTTGCCTCCTGTATGCACCCTGAGTGGGGATCAAACCTGCAGTCTTAGTATGTGCCTGACCAGAATTTGAACCTGAAACCTTTTATTTTTCTAAAATATATTTTATTGATTTTTTTACAGAGAGCAAGGGAGAGGGAGAGTTAGAAACATCGATCAGCTGCCTCCTGCACACCTCCTACTGGGGATGTGCCCGCAACCAAGGTACATGCCCTTGACCGGAATCGAACCTGGGACCTTTCAGTCCACAGGCCGAAGTTCTATCCACTGAGCCAAACCGGTTAGGGCAAACCTGAAACCTTTTAGTGTAAAGGACAATGTTCCAACCAACTGAGTCACTCGAGTAGGGCTGCATTGAACTTTTAAAAAATTTTCACTGAGATAGAGAATAATATTGAAGTACAAGTAATTCAGCTCCCCTTTGATACAAAAAAAGCTTATATTCTAGTGAGATGATGAGATAGATTTATCTATTTTTTTCTTCTATATTACTTCCCTTTGCTTCTCATTGTATGACCATATCACCCCACTGATTAGTGTATGTATACACACACACACACACACACACACACACACACACACACACACACTGACTGGCCAGATTATTATGACCACCCCATCAGTACTTCGTTGGGCCACCTTTTGCCTTCAATACTGCAGCAATTCTTCTTGGCATTGACTCCACGAGATGTTGAAAGGTGATGCAAGGAATCTGACACCATGCCTGATGAATAGCACTGTCCAGTTCTGTGAGATTTGATGGTTGTGGAACCAGCTGCCTGATGGCTCTTTTAAATTTGTCCCACAAATGCTCAATTGGATTGAGATCTGGTGATTGTGGGGCCACCTAAGCAAGGTAAAGTCTCCTTCATGCTGTTGAAACCACTCCTGCACAATACGAGCACCATGGCATTGCGTATTGTCTTGTTGGAAGAAGCCATCTCCATTGGGATATGCCATCAACATGATAGGATGAATTTGATCAGCAATGATACTTAGGTATGTTGTGCTATTCAGATGTTTATAATGATCTGGCCCTCTAGCAACTTCAGCAGGAAATTATAGCTAATTTGCCTACAAATGTCAGGTGGTCATAATAATCTGGCCACTCAGTGTATATATATATTATAGATGATGTACAAATATCTTATGGCATATTATATTTTAGATTATGCATATTTTATTAATAATCATGAGAATTTGTGGTTTTTGTCCCAACTGAAAAATTCAGATCCTTGAGATTTTAGTAATGTCATAGTTAAATGTATAAGCTTATGAAAAGCATTTAAAGTTTCATTCTATATAACCAAAGGAAAGTTAGCTATATTAGGGAATAACTGAAAATTTCTGAAAAATGTAGGGGCTAAGGATTGTTGGCAGTCTTTTAAAATTAACAGAAAATGGGGATCAATATTGACTATCGACTGTTTGCTAGGAAGTGTAAGACCTTTGTATATACGATTGCACTTTACTTTCACGTTAATATTTTGAGATATGCATATGACCTCCATGCTACAGATGAAAAAACAGGTGAAGCAGTTAGGTTTATACTCCCCAGAGTTTCACGTGCAGTAGGTGGAAGGCTGCACTCCATCCACAGATCTAAGAGTAAAGATTCTGCTCCCTGCATTCTTCTATGGCTGACTTATAAGAGAGTCAGAAACCCAATTATATCTGCATTTCTCCTTCCCATTTAAATGCTTCAATTTTAGATACTTTTTTTGAGCCTTTTAAGGCTCTATAGCTCATACTGGGCTCATTTTCTGAGTTTTCAAGAAATTAGATGGGTGAGGGGCATTGATTTGAAGAATACAGGAGACTATTATGTGACCCAAGGTGAGGGAAGTATAAAGATGTAACTGGCCTAACAATCAACCATACCTAGGAACTGGAATTTCATCAGAAGGAGATATCAAATGAATAAGAGAGTATAAGGCACTCATTTGCATAGGTTTCACTATATGACTATATTAGAGATAACGTATAAATAACTATACCTGTACAACATTTTTAATTTTGGAAAGTCAGTCCATATATATTACCTCACTGCTCCTCACACCTAGTCTGTGACAAATGTAATATTTTCCCCTCTCAGCAAATAAATCTGAAGTCACAATTAGCAAGTAGGTGGCAGAGTCTTGGTTTGAACATGTATCTTCTCCCTCCTAGGCTTATATGTGCTCCACAGGTACCTTCTACTAAGGAGATACTTGAAGTTGAGGTTGGGTTTTTGTGCAGTTTTACAGGGCAAAGTAGAGCAGGCTATCTGAAGTCCCAGCTAAAAATGCCAGGGGGCCAGCTGCACCTTTCCTTCTCCAGAAATAAAGCAACAAGGACCCTCTATGATGATGGCAGATGGGCAATGTAGTTATTTTGCAATTAAGAAAGTTTAAAGGGCTCTCTCTGAAAAATGTGCCAAGGGGCCTAAATTACTAGTTTTACACTAATCTGAGTAACCTATTTTCTGATTTATTTTTAGCCAATTCTAGTTTCAACTGACTGTCTTGAACTTAATGTTTTGATTAATGCTGGGGCATTTGCATAAATAATTTAAAGTTAGATATATAGCAATTGTGATGACATCAATGAACATTCTCAATACATTCACAGTTAAAACAAGAAACTATACCCAACAAATTCATAATCTTTATCTCCTCTCCTAAAAGCTTTGTTTTAACATTGTTTTCGTTTATACAGTAAGTTACATGGAAGCAGCTTGTGTATAGGGAGGGAACTTAGTTATTAGGAAGATAAGCGTTCTAATTCAGCTTGAACAGTCTCTCTAAATCTCCGTTTTTCTCTCCTGAAAATCAGAGATAACACTGCTTAACATATGGGCATTTTGTGTATTACATTTAACATATGTAAAATAGCTGACAGGTAGCCTGAACCCAATCAATTGTACCCATTGGGATTATAAAAAAAATATTCTAGGCATAGTTAAGCTGCTCTCTCTTGGAACATCTAAAACAAATAATATGGCAAATGCATTAGCACTGAACAATAGACTAAAGGAAACATGATTTTATCTGATCAAAGCCCAAGTAGTACACTTTAAAATTGAAATGGAAACAGTCTTAACAGATGTGAGACATAAAAATTCTGCAGAGTAATATTTTAATAAAAGAAGCCCATTGAATGCTGGGGATTAAAAATAGGAATATATGTTTTCTAATAAAATTGGGAAGACTGAAGTGCTGAGATTTTCAGTAGTTGATAAAATGACTGCATTCTGGAATTGCACAATTAAAAAAAAAGGAGAAACTAAAAAAAAGTTCATAGGCTTCTCAAAGTAAATGAAACAGGTTTCAAGTGAGGTACAGAATGAGGACAAGTCTGAGAAAGCAATTTTTTTCTTTCAACAGTGAAACAAAAATGATTAAGAAAGGAAGATACAGGGTAGAATATCAAACTAGCCAATAGCTTCATTTTAAACAACTGGTAAAAGTAAGAAGGAACCCATCAGACATTCTTCTTTAAGTAGTAGAGGGTCTGTGACTTGGTATGATAACAAGAAATGTAATGATAGCCTGACTTGACTCAGCTCACACTATAGTTGCAATGATGGAAATTTCAAATATTGATTTATTTTTATTTTTGTTAATCCTCACTTGAAGATATTTTTTTCATTGAGAGAGAGTGGAAGGGAGGAAAGATGGAGAGAGAGAGAGAGAGAGAGAGAGAGAGAGAGAGAGACATTGATGTGAGACATATCAATTGGTTACCTCCTGCACGAGTCCTGACCGAGGCTGGGGAGTGAACCCACAACCCAGGTACATGCTCTTAACCAGGAATTGAACCTGTGACTCTGGTTGATAGGCCGACACTCTATCCACTTAGCAACACCAAGCTGGGCTTAAATACTGATTTTTAACTTTTGTAAATCCACAAAAATACAATATGAAAAACTCATTATGCAATAGAATATGTATGTGATCAATATTTACTATGAAAATTAGAGAGTAAGATGATAGCTTGAGGGTGGGGGCAGGAAGAGCTGGTGGAAAGGGGGAGGGTATTAAAATCTTCTGCTCCCAATTTGGAAGTTTTAAACAGGAAAAAAAAAAGAGATGATTAAGGGGATTATTTCAAGCTAAAAAAAATAAGAAGGAATTAATCTAATATTATTAAGTGAAGAAATGAGATGATGTGTGAATCAAGAGATGTTTATTGTTAATAAATTTAAAAGGTAGGCATTTAAACCATAGTATATTCATACCACTTAGAAATAAAAAGATAAAAACACAAAAACATAAAATTTGCTTTTTTCTTGAAGCCCTTCTACACTATTTGACTTTGAAAAATAGGAAAGTACAAGTTTGATGGAAAAATTTAAATAACATAGTTGAAGCTGTTAAAACTGGAGAGTAGATATGGATAATTTTAAATGAAGTGACAGGTGAACATCAACAAATAAAGAAATTTGTCATGTTGATATTGAGGACAAAATTTTCCTATAATATCCTTGAATCAAATGTAAAAGAGTAAATATTAATTTATAACTTTTATTTTTTTAAATATATTTTATTGATTTTTTACAGAGAGGAATAGAGAGTTAGAAACATCGATGAGAGAGAAACATTGATCAGCTGCCTCCTGCACACTCCCCACTGGGGATGTGCCCGCAACCAAGG